AAGAGGGATTTCAGTTGGTTGCTGAGTAAAATCTATAGTTACAGTGAGGGGTCCTTCCAGAGCAGCATCCTGTCGTGTCATGGATCTGATCCTTCTGGAGAAATTAGAAGACCAAGTAAATTAGCTCCTCACAATTACTCTAGAAATGGAACAGTCATACTGAGAGAATATAAATGTTATCCTCAGGTAAAAGATGTCCGTTTTAATATGGCTGTACTAAATCATTTCTCAAATGACAAGTCAAACAGTAGCTCAGTGTGATGGAAAAAAAGATAAGTTTGGTTTACGTAGCGCTTTTATCATGCTTATACTTTCAGTGAGACAGATACATGAAATAATAATTACTTAAACATAAACTTATCTTTATGCTTTGTTTCAATATATGCATTTAATTCTGTAGTCTGAATCATACTCTTACACCTAGGTTAACTGATGTTAAAACTTTTTTTTAAATGGTAACTGAAATTGCGACATATTTCACTGAATTAAACTTGTGTGTGTTCAAATGGGTGTGCTTCATTTTTAATGTCGGCTCTGCTAGCACTGGCACAGGTCAGTTTGACTTTTTGCCCAGTACTTATGTAAGAAAGCAGTATAAAAAAAAAAAAAAGTGTTTATGAAATTTGATCTGTACATCTTGTATTTGCTGCCCAAAGCTATTAATTGATGCCCAGAGAGAATGAACAGCATAAACCACTTCCTAAATTTTCAGAGCTAAGTGTAGACCTGGAACATTTTGAAGACATTTAAGAGTACTGTTACTCTTTTTGAGGTTTTGGGGTTTTTGTTAAGCAGACAGCAAAGAAAGTAGCATTTAATGAGAAACAGAATATTTTTCTCTATAAAAGGATCTTTTAATGTAGAAATAAAGTTACAAATCACAGTCCAAGTGTTTACCCATTGAGGAATAAGAAGCCAAACATGGTGAGAAGCTTTCTTGGTTTTTTTTTTCTTTCCTCTTTTTTCCTTTCCTTTCCAGGTTACTTTTTTTTTTTTTTTTTGCATTTTGTCAGAAATTATTGTTGGTTAGTAGGAAATTTACAATGGAAAATAAGATTTTTAAACCCAAGAAAATTAGCAGTCAGACTAAAGGCCAAGTGAAGCGGTTTAATTTTTTTTTTTAAAGCTCTTGAAGAGATTTAAGTTATCAATATCTGTTTATCAGGAAGTCCTGTGTGCTTTGGCAGTCCACCTATATAATTCTTGCTCAACCGTAAGTCCAGTAGCACACAAACTATTGCTATATTTTTCCAAATTGATAGTTAATAGATATCCCAGTCACCGAGCAGAGACAACCTTTGCTGGGATGCTGCCTCCTTTTCACAGTTTTCTAACTCTCTGTACAGCCCTTCTCCTTAGGGGGGTCACAGAGATGTTCTGTAAATGCAAAGATATTTAGGGAGGAGTTTTATCTGTTAAGGTTTAGTGTTGAATGCAGCTTTCATCTTAGGTCAGATTCTACCCAGTGCTGTAGGATTAAGGAAGACTTTCTGGTTCCTTGTCCAAAGCCAAAACGCAAATCTTTTGGATGTTTAAAAAAAACAAAACAAAAATCAAGCAACAACAGAAAAGCCCAAACAAAAAAAAAAAATCCTCCCCCCAAATTTTAGAGTTTAGAATTGTGTTCCACAGGTACAGTATTTGAAATACTACTTTGATGTTATAGAAGCAATCATGACATTAAAAAAAAAAAAAAAAAGTTATGTGAAGGTAAGGGATGGAGTGCTAACTTTTAAAATTTGAAAACTGAACACCTGGAGATAATTATATTTTAAATGTTTTCAGGCTGAGTCAGAGTTAATGGCAAATGGGAACCATATTAGATTGGAAGATGATTAGTAGAATTTATCATTATAATATGCTTAGCATAATAAGCATGGTAGTCTTGATTATTCAGTGACAGTTTGTGTAGCAATTTTTCCATTAAAAGACTATGTCAGTCTGTCAATAAATACATTCATTAGATCCAATATGCCATGCTTAACACATGTCTGGTTTCAAAAATAATATTAGTTTTCTCAGATAAGATGAGACTATCAGTAGTCTTCACGTGGTTTACAAAACAGACCTTAAGAAGGTTTCACTTAAGAACATGAATTTTATAAAAAGACTGAAACATTATATAGAAGCAGATCCTAGTAGCAGCCCTACCTCTACTTGTACATAAGCCAACATGAAACAGGTCCAGGCAGGTTACAAAAAAATTAGCTGAAAAGTCTTCTCATTTTGTTGATAAACTACACAAGTCATGTTTACATACAGAAGGAGTGAGTGAAGGTTTCACAGACTTACAATGTTAAAATATCTCTTTCAGAAATTGTCCCAAAATTCTAGAAAAAGCTCATTTGGCTTTTTTGGTGTGTTCTAAATCGTACGTCTGTGTAGAATGGAAATTTGCTCTGACAGGTAGACAGTAATGCTGGTGTGTGATCAGCCACTAGCCTTAGTTCTCTTGGATCAATTTTTTCTATTATTATCAGCAGTTTAAAACACTTTTTTTTTTTTATATTAACTCACTTGTATTGAGACTGGTGCTTTGAAACATTCACGTGAACAGTAGTCAGTGACATCTCAGTTCAGTACCAGCACAGTACCAGTTAAAGTTACCAGAAAAGAAGTGTTCGTATCATTTGGATTAATAGCTCAGATAAATATTCTATCTAGTTTGTTCCTAATGATGGGACGCAAGGAAATAGTCTTGTTTTAGTCCCTTTCTCTTCTCGTCTGCCAGGTTTTCTCCAAGGAAGTAACACCCTCTCTTCCTTCAGAAAGAAAAAAAAAAAATCAAAACAAACTTGCTAAGATTGCATTAGTCATCCACCGGTTTATTAGAGATTATTTCTAACTGTGATAAGAACTTGGACTTTGAATTTTCTAAATATACAGAAGGTGGAAGAGTATTGAGCAATTTTTCTTACTATCTCGCAGAGTAATCTCACAGGGTGTAGCATTGCTGAACTAATGGCCCTCAAATAGTGACTTATCAGAGCTGCTCAGGGATTCTTGCCATTGCTATAAAAAGACATTTGGCAATAAACAGTATGTCATCTTAGAAGCACAGCCATTTACTAGAACATAAATGTGCTAACATACTTCACTTACAAATTTTTCAATGGCATCTGGTTCTAGAAAACGAAGTAGATGATTTTCAACTAGTTGTTCTAAATATTATAATTTTAAAGCAGTTGTTTCTTGAGGTGGGTGATAAATTACTGCATTTGTTATGTATTTCTGTTGGGCATTTCACCAGACCTCTCAGAGCTTTTGGGTAAATATTAATTAATAAGCAATGACTCTTTAGCAGAAGGTTTGTTAGGTAGTTTGCACCTATTTTGCGGTTAAACAGAGAAACACACATCACTTGGTTCTGTCTCAGAGATAAGTTCTTGACGGGAATTACCTAGTCTGAGCTCGATGCTTTTTCATTATCTTTTGGTTTGTTTATTTGTTTCTTTTTTTTTTTCTTTCTTTTTTTCCCTCTTGAGCTAATGAACGTATTTAAAATGCTGCTTCCCCACCTCTGTAAGAAATCAGCTTGCCAGGTGTTACTCCCATGTCTTCCTCTTGCAATGCTGGAGCAACTTGACTTTTTTCCCCTGGTTATTGCTGTTGCATGCTGTTACAGTCTTGCAGGAGCTGTGCAGCGGGTGATGAGCCTGACGACATCAGTGCAGGGTTGATGCTGTCTTGTGTGATGGCTTCCAGCTACGAATGGAGTCCTGGCTGGTCATCACCTGAGTGGCATATGATTGCTGTATGTAGGATTGAGGTAGAAATAGGTCATATAAGGAGAACACAGATGTATTAATTCACATTTTCCAGAGCATTACAGGTTGCATGCTGGACTTTCACTCTTGGCTGTAGTTGTTGTAACTTCATGAGTAGCCTGTGTCTTTCACAGTTTAAGTACTTAAGTCAAAATCTGTAAGCTGATCCTGGGATTGATTGGCGGTGGATTTGGGCACCTTTAGCAATTCTTGGCTGAGAAAAAGGTGTTACTGCTGTGGCAGAGAAAGGTGCCTTTCCATTCCCCTGACAGACCTGATCATTCTTGGTTTTCTCCTAGATCTGTGGTTTGCATATACTTGATTGCCAGACATGTCTCTTAAGCAGGTGTTGATTACACCGATCATCGAGGAATCACAGGTGTCCAAGTATCAGTTGAGCAAATGGTCAAATAACGTGTCCGTGTGTAGGCAGAGCTGGGTACTTCCTGAAGCTGTCAGGTGTTTTGTGACTCAGAATTCATTGTTCCAAAGAGCTACCTTTATAATACACGCTATTTTAACTGAAATGGTCCTAACAATGTATTCATGTTAGTGATTTAATGTTAATTAAATAATTTCCAACACATTCAAATATTAATTTTTTGGAGTTGTTTTTGTAGAAGAATATCTGTTGCTCCTTTTGATGTTGTTCCTAAATAGAAATCTTACAGAGTTAATAAAAGGAAAACAAAACAAATCCCACAACACCCCAAAACCCAAGGTAGGTCAATACTTGGGTTGCTGTTCTCAGGGATGTCCACACTGAAGGTCTAGTAGACCATACCAGAAGGTTGTCATGAAGTGGAAGTTAAAATGTTGGCTCCAATATAATTTTGACCATTGGGAGACATACTTACAGATGTTATCCTTTGAGGAAATATGATATTTAAGCTTGCTTGGCCTGAGGATAGGGGGGCGTCTGCTTTGTGTGTCTGAGGTTTAGGTCTGATTCTCCCTTTCTTCTTCTTGAAGGTGGAGAGAGTGGACAGTGTTATTAAAAGCTAAACTTTTAGCGGCTGAGGAATGTAGCCGCCAAATTTCAAAGAGACTCCCATAACCAGCTGGGGACCAGCAATGAGTGGAGCCTCATGGATTTCAGTGAGGCTCTGTGTGTGGCAGGGGACCTCCCAAGCCAATCAAGGAAGACTGCCAACGGAGTAAATGACAATATGTAGTATTTAAGAATTGTTTCTATATGGGAGCTTAAAACCCCTTTTTCCCCTTCCTTTTCAGAAAGAAGACACAGCTCCTCCAGCAAGCCGCCTTTGACTCCACCTTCCTCTTCAGTATTTTCCCTCATTTCATCTTTCCCTTCAAAAAACAAAGGTAGCAGTGGAAGTGGGAGCAATCGTTCATCCAGTGGAGGTACTAGTACATCATCATCAAATTCCAAGTTGTTGAAATCACCCAAAGACAAGCTGCAGATCAGCGGAAACAACAGGTTAATGCATTCGGTACAGCATAGCAAAGTTCCCCATGATAAAATGTGAGTATGTGTTTTGACAAAGAATTAAATGTTATTACTTGCATAGTCACTGCTACATCAGTAGAATTTCTTTTTGTTTCAGAGGGGTTTTGGTTTAAGAGATAATCACTTTAAACTCCTCCAGATCTTTTCTGGCAGTCTAAGATTATGGATAATACTCATGACTCTGTTGAACAAGAACTGTTGGAAAGCTGCATCTTAAATCACTATAAATAACGGTCATTTTACTAGGGTTCTTAATTCTTTCATCTAATCTGCATACTTTGATCATAAGGGAGTTTTAGCTCTGATTCAGGTGATTTTTGACCTGCATGTGTGAGATTGCAGAACTGATAATACAATTTACTGTCACAGAACAGGGCATTTCTCACTGGACATAACAGGCCCATTGCAGTTGCTTTGGTGATACGCTGTACCTGTGACTCCAAATAACAGTTTCCGAAGGCCCTGATGACTCTCTGAAATACAAGGAAGTGGGGAACAGAGGACAGAAGAGATCATGGGCATAATAAAAAATGTGAAAATAAAAAATGGAAATAAAGGAGGAAGGTCTACATTTGCATTGTGAACAGATCAGAGTATTGTTGAGTACTAACATATTTTAAGTACTTTTTATAACTTTTGACTATAATTTTCAATTTACGCCCTTTGTTTTTCATAAATAATAGTATGACTCCATCTGTCAAAGTGGAAAAGATTCATCCAAAGATAGATGGTGCCCAACTGAAAGCTGCTGTTGGTCCAACTTGTTCTACTACTGTGAGTTCCTCAATAAAGACTGGCCTTAATTGTCCCTCAATACCAAAGCCACCCTTGCCTTCCCCTGGACAGATACTGAATGGTAAAGGTCTTCTCTCTGTGCCTCCATTTTTGGAAAAGAAACCTGAAGAAAATACAAATAATAGGAAATTTTTACATAAAAGATTGTCAGGTAATTGTTTTTCATTATTATTTCCTATATTCCTCTTAGTAGTGTATCTATAGAAATACATATATAGAATATATAGAAATCAGTTTCAGAAGTAAAACACTTCTGTAACACTGTAACTTGTAATTAGGTACATTTTATATACTAGAATTTAAATCTATAACTTGACGTACTCTTAAAGGACACAAACAACTTGAATGTCGCTGTTGCTTTCAGAAACCATACAGACCTCAAGGGCCTTTCAGTTCTTAACAGTTCTAAAATTATACTCTTCTACTATCTCTAAAGATTTTCTTTTCCTTCTTTCTATATAGAAGGTCTAAGTGTACAAAGAAAATGGAAAAATCGCCATCTCATAAACTCGGAAATGTAAACCTAATCTGCTCTTTACACTTTTTAAACACAATAACTTTGTTAGTAGAAAGGTAGAAAAGTTCTTAACACCGAAACCACCAACAAAAAAGCACCATTTGTTTGTCACAGTTCATATTGATGGCAACCTCTAATCCCAGCATGCAGGATCTGCCTCTCCTTTGGGGTCCCTTACAGCTCTAAATTTCCCTATTCCGTTTGTAGACTTGAGATCTGTATTTCAGCACACCATAAACTTGCTGAGAGTGTGTACAACTTTATTGTGCATTTTTACTTGTACATTTGCCTGTGTTACAGTTGAAAACAGTTTCCAGTATGGTTGATTGTTATAATGAAAATAAATGTTAGTATTTCAAAATGTCTCTTCATAACTTTTCAAAACTGTGTACCTTTTGACAGAGAGAGAATTTGATCCTGATATATACTGTGGTGTCATTGATGTGGAAACCAGGAAACCTTGTACTAGGTCTTTGACATGCAAGGTAGGATATCTTAATCAGAATAAGATTATGTAAAGTTTTAATTCAACTTCCTGAGGAATATGACAGAAAATTACAAATTTTTGCTGTCCATAATTATGACTGTAAATGGTACCTCTCAAAACATGTTGCCCAGAACCAAGAATGAATTGTTTTCAAAGTTCAGTTAATTATTTTTTCAAAAACATATTTCTTAAAGTAACCTGGAGATTTGTATTTTTGTATAAACCCTTTAAACATGATGGGACAGATTAGTTTAATCCATGTGTAGGTAGTAGGAGGCCAGAATTACGTTCTTTTTTGGGGATAACCTTTGGTCATAGATCATGAATTTTAAAATTCCTCATAAGCATTAAAAGTATTATTTGTTTATGCAGGATTTCAATAAATCAAGCTGCTTCCCTCTCACACCCCCTCCTAGGAGGTATTTGTGTAAATGCTACTTGATGTACAGCTACGGCCAACTCAGAAATGAGTCTTCCAAAAAAGCCTAGGGGTCAAACTCTAAATTAAACAATCCGTAAAAACTTTTAGTTAAATGAATGTCCTCTGGCCCAAAAGTCTTGGGAGAGAGAGGGGTATCACTTAGTCCCGAGGAACCAAAAATCCAGATCCCCTGCAATTGTGTAGTATTTCACTACTTCCCTGCAAAGCAGCTAAACTGTCGGTAGGGGAAGCATCTGGTAAATAAACCACCTACAGCACAAAGGTAAATGAAGCTGATACTAATGACCCAGGGGAACTGAACTTGAACACGTTGCCCTTTTGGAATTACAAGGGGGAGGCAATTGTTTCGCTAATAGAGGAGGGGAAAGCTTCAAGATTTTACAAGAGAGCTAGGCAAATCAAAAGTGTAAAAGAGGAAAGAAATGTTTCTCAGCAATTCCTTATATTATACCTACTCAGAAAATATTTTTTCGGAATTGGTGTTTGTGTCTGAATTATGTGATGATAATTTGTACCTGCTGAAATGAACCCAGTAAAACCTTTTATGCCGTATGGAAAAAAGGTATTGTATGTGACTTTAACAATTCAGAAAAATAACTCCCATCTATTTCACTGTACCTAGAATTTGTGCCATATATACACAGGTACATCTTTCTATTCAGGACACTCGAAGGACTTTGAGTTCTGTCTGACTATGGATTCTACTGTATTTTTTTGCATTCCTTAATATCTATTTGATTACATTAGTTTTCATTTAATATATCAGTATTTAGAAGGAGGCAAAGTGTTTTTTAAATATTTTTCATGGCTCCCATTAAAAGTCTGATTTTAAACATTATTGTGATAAATATTTTCATAAGTGAAATTAAATGTTTAGTATTTTTGGTTGTGCACTAGTTGGCAATTAAAATACCGACGTAAAAAATATTTTTCAATTCTAGTCTTAACCTTATAAGAACTTTCAAATTTCTTTTTAAAAAAGAAATTGCCAAAGAAGCCTTTTACTCAATTGCTGGTTTTTGTTATTTTGTATCAGATAGGGATATAATCATCCACCAGGCAGTTTTAAAGTTTGTTTTCCAAGTCATTCTTCCATTTGTTTACTAAACATGAATGTGGTGATTTTCTCTGTTTTAGAGGTCTAGACATGTGTTTCGAGTGTTCGATTTCCACAAATCTAATAGCCTGAGATTAATGATTTATTTGTGGTTTTGCAGACACATTCCTTAACCCAGCGGAGGGCTGTACAGGGTCGAAGAAAACGATTTGATGTGTTACTAGCCGAGCACAAAAGCAAAACCAGGGAAAAGGAACTTCTTCGACATTCGGATCATCATCAGCAGATGCCCCCTCTCAGGGAACCACATCCCTCACCTACTAAATCTTCCCAGGAGCTGCACCAAAATTCTCATGGAGTTACTCTTACAGAATCAAAGCCTTTATTACCTAATAAACCCAAACCTCATCCCCCCAGTCTTCCAAGGTAAGGAAAATCTGCACATCTAATGGTATGAAATTAATACTGGTACCTTCAGCAAGTGGATTTTGAAAGAGCAATATCTGTTGGACAGGGCAGTAGTTTTGCTCTAGGCCTGGTGACTGTATGTCCGCAATTAGCAATTACGCGCTGAGCTGTAACTCCTAGCGAGGAGGGGTTGGTGTTTGAAGTAGCAAAAGCTGACTTGCATCAATGAAAGTGGTTCAG